CGGTGGGTGGCCCAGCAGCAGTGGGTGCTGAACTCACCTATCCCTTTTGTCAGGGATATTTTTAGTGAAAGGCTACTGTGAATTTTTATTTCCCATGACCGGTCCATGACTTTTACTAAAAATACTTGTTTAAGATTGATCCCACTTACTATTGCCCTCAAAGACTTTGAGTTAAGGAAGTTCTATTTGTTTTTTGATAAGGAGTTAAGACTTAGAAGCAGGAATCCTTCAAGTTGATGTAATCAAATAAGTAGAATTTCAAGCAAGTAATTTCCCCTTTATTACTAGGTATAATATGAAAGGTTCACAGAAGTTATAACTGAGTGTTTGGGAAAAGGAACTTTGTTTAAAATAAGCATTTATTTTATTGCACTATGACTGTATCAATGTAAACCACTATACTTGCACAGAATAAATTTGTTTTCTGATCACTTTACAGAAGGATCCATTTGATCCATTTGATCTGAATGAATTGCTTCAGGAATTACCAAGAAAACAGAAGGAAGCATTATGGGAGAGGCTGACGCATCTATTAACACACATTTTGGTAAAGAACCCAGTGGAAGGATGGCAGAGGATTGAAGATGAAAGTGATGATGATATGGAAATAGAGGAAAGTCCAAAAATGGTAAAATAAAAATACAAAATCTTCCAATATGCTATTCAAGATGCTGAGTACTTTGAATTAGGATCTTCTACCAGCAGATGTATCCACTTAGAGATTGCACAGAATTGGTTTGTACAAATTCCAAAAAACAACTTGGGGTTTTTCAGAGTTAAAGCTCTTTAATCTTTTCTTTCTCTCTTTATAGTCCAGCGTTTTGACCGTTTCTGGGGTATACTTATATTAATTGATCAAATGTTATTACAAGTTCAGTCTTTTACAAATTCAGTGTTCACAGCAGAAAGCTTACCAGCCGGAGCTGAGAAATTGACAAGAATGACAACCAACAGCCAATGTAAATAACTCCGTGTCTACACTGACACTGCATCACCCTAACTACACTTACATAAGCCTTACGCCTCTTGTGGAGGTGGAGTTATGTCGGTGTATTAGAACACTTACGTTGGTGGGAGCAAGGCTGTGATGTGTAGTGGTCCACAAATTATAAAAGTTGGAGAACCGCTGCACTAACACAATAATGCTTTACCTTATATAGCACATTGCATCTGAGGATTTAAAACAATTTATAAGTGCATTAATTCACAAAACAACCCTGCTAAAGAGATACAATTTCTTATCTCTCAAATGGGGATATGCTGCAAAGTTTGGATTGCAAACCAGGCTCGTGGTTTAAATATAAACAAAATTTCTGTAATAGTAATTAAATTAATAATTAGGAATTAAATAATAAAAATCCAAAGCCTTTTCTTTGAATTTAAATTTTGTACAAACTTTGTTTTTTTGCAGATATGAATGTTGTGCCACAATTGACTTGATTGTTCAATGTTAAATGGAAACTAAGCAAGTGGATGTGTGTCCAGAACATTAAATTTGAGCCATGCAGACTCATTTTCTGTAGCTAATGCTTATTTTCCGAGGCTTTTTTTTTCAGAATTATAGCCTATTTTGAAGCCTCTTGAGTTGTTATAAAGAAAACTATTTTTCAGTTTACTTAAGATGAATTGTTTTTTAACTTTCAGAAACAAATGATAGCTGTGATCCAAGGGGTGACAACTGTAGTTACTGCTTCGATACCTGTAGTAGATGAAAATATAAACTACAAAGCTCTTCTAGAATGTGCTCTAATATTAAATGGTGGGTATTTTTCTTAATGTGGAGTTTTATATAGTATGCTGATTTTAGGCAGCACTTTAGTACACTCGTCTGCTGCTAATGGTTGAGTCTTCTTGTTTTTGTTGTGATTTGAATAAAAGGGTGTACTTTGGTGCCAGAGACACTGATATTTTGGCCTGCAGGCCTTATTTACTATGACAGCTTACTGTGAAGTATGGCAGGCAGGGAGTTGCATATCCTAATTTGGATTCCTTATTTCCTCCAAAAAATAAATTTACAATCTATAAAACACTGTTTTATGTAATTCTTTTTTTTTTACATCCTGTTGGTAAACTCTCCTGTCCCTAAAAAACAAGTAAACTATCAGTTTAAATACATTGTTTCAAATCTTCATGTCCAACATTCTATGGGACAGTTACCATCTCTAAATGGAAGAGGAGATGACGGTCAGTGTAATTTGTGCCCCTACTATTTAATAAGTATCAGTACGTTATAAATATACAGAATTATTAGTCCTGAGGTGGGGAGGGGAGGAGTCAACGCTTATGCTGATCTACATGGCATATTATCCTATGAGAGTGTCAAAATGCAAAATGAAGGATAAATTATTTCTACTCAAGGAGCAACAATTCTCCCTTTGCTGCTTTTGCCTGCTGTGGTGGGCTTTTACAAATGAAGACTCTGTGCAGCCAATGTCAATATGACACCTGTTTCCGCCGGGCTATTTGTATTGATGGAGAGGCAAGATTGTGAAGTCAGGACTTTAGGGTGGGATTCACAAAGATACTTAAGTGCCTAGGTCTGGCCAGTTTTAGGCTCTACTGTGATTCACAACTCCCACTGAATTCTGTAGCCTCCTAAACTCACTCAGTGCCTAAATTTTCAGGGTACAAGTTTCCCTCTGCATCTATTTTCTACCTCTGGGCACATGCACTGCTGCCTAACTCTAGGAGTCCAGACACACAAAATCATAGGGTTAGAAGAGACTTCGAGGGTCATCTAGTCGAACTCCTTGCCAAGATGCAGAATTTTGTGTCTAAACTATCCAAGACAGATGGCTATGCAGTTTCCTTTTGAAAACCTTCAGTGAAGGCGCTTCCACATCCTCCCTAGGCAGCCTGTTCCATGTCTCCTACTTAAGCCCCACAGTGGTTCACAAACCACAGAAGATAGGTGTTTGCCTACCTAAGTCATGTGCGGGGCCCAATCTGGTAGGCGTGCTCAGAGACTGCCTACTGGATTGGGTCCCATTCACAATTTGGTTGGAGGTAGTGGTGAGGCCCACTGTACAGCTTTTAGCCTGGTTCTTAGAGCACTCACCAGGAATGTGTGATGGCTGGGTTCAGTTTTCCTCTCCTCTCCCAGAGGTGGGGAAGAGCATTTGGACAAGGGTTTCCACCTCTCAGGAAAGTGCTCTAACTGCTGAGCTATGGGATATTCTGATGCAGCGCACACCCTTGGTTTCTCCTGTTGAAGCCATTCCATTGTGAATAAGTAATGAAAGAGTGATTTGGCCAGGGAGAGAGAGAGACTCTGTAGCCTGGGATATGGTAGACCCAGGGTCCAGCCGCCTTGTTCCAATGATTTTTTTTAATTATTTGTCCAAAGTGGAACAGCATCAGCAGGAGAGGTTGAAGGAGCCCCATGTCAGAATATCCCATAGCTAAGTAGTTAGAGCACTTTCCTGAGAGGTGGGAGGACCCCTGTTCAAATCATTCTCCTCCTTTGGTAGGGGAGAGAGGGAAATGGAATAGGTGTCTCCCACATCCCAAGTCAGTGCTTTGACTACTAGGCTAAAGCTATAAGGTGGGCAACTCCTCCTTCCCCAGTTTTATATGAAGTTAGGTGCCTACCTATGCCATTCTCACAAGGAACACCTAAGTCATCTAAGCTGCTTGACCACAGGATATGGGATCCCAGTTGTGACTCGCTGGTAGAGATAGTCGCTTCTCTGCAGCCTGGACTTAGGTGCATATCTTCATGAGGGGTGGGGTTTAGAACACACTCTTCTAGTCAGTATTTCCCATTGGATACCTTAGGTGACTTGCTGCCTAGTATGCTGGCTTTTGTGAATCCTATTGTATAAGGCATCTAGGCACTTAATGTAGGCTTTGTGAATCACACTTGTTCCTGTTGTTTTCTAAGTGCTTAAAAGTTAGGTGTTGTGATGCTCAGCACCTAAATCCCTTTGTGAATCTAGCTGTTAGTGTATTGGTAGGCCAAGATCCTTGGGTCTATTGCTGCTCCTGGGGATCTGCGTCCTTAGCTTCTCAGTGACGCTCAGTCCTATTTCCTCCCAGATACACCCTGTTGCAGGTTTCACTTGTGAGAAACAACAATGTTGGGGGGATGGAGCCAGCCCGGGAGAAGAACATTCATACTAAGTGCTTCACTTTAATATGAAGGAGGTGATATTGGCTGAAGTTGTTAACTTGTCATGTTGTCGATATAGTACCACCACAGTTTTTACTCCATTAGAGTTATGGAGATTTTGCCTAAAAAATCAATAACATCGTATGGCCAACATAGTCTTCTGCAAAGTGGAACTGGTTAGGATTATTCAGTTCTTCTTCGAGTGCTTGCTCATATCCATTCCATTAGGTGTGTGCGCGCCGCGTGCACGATCGTCGGAAGATTTTTACCCCAGCAACACCGGCGGGTCGGCTGTGGAGCCCCCTAGA